GCCTGCCAAGACCAGAGAAACCAAAGTCAATTGCCCTCTAATGCAGAAGAACTTTCTGGTGGAGAGCGATGAATATTGCCATTTGTCCTATGCCACGCAGCCTTGGACAAGAAAGCCTAACGTGGAGGAGAAGGGTGGGAGAAGATGCTGTTCTAGAACCTCTGAGAAGAAGAGCACGTCATAATTATTTTGCCAACAGGGCTAAAAATCAAAGAAGAGCGCCCCAGGGTGATTTAGTTGAGGGAAAGGCTAATAACACTTAAGAGCATACCCATTCTGTACTTATCGTTTTATCCGATATAAAATTTTCTCTCCAAGTATGATTCTTTTATTGAAAAACAATGTCAGAAATATCACAGAGTCAGAAAATCACGGGGTGGCCCGTATTCCTGGAAACTATTCCGTATGGTGATGACGAGGTGGGTGGAGATGTCAGGCAGACCTGAGTTCGAATCCTAACTCTACCACTTCCCTCAGGAAAATGACCCGACTTCTCAGGGGCCTGAGTTTCTTTTTTTTTTTTTTGATAAAGCAGTGGTCAGAACAGAACCAGCTTCACTCACTTGTCTGAGGGTTCCGTGACATAATTAAGATAAAATCTTAGCGTGGTGCCTAGAAATTAGGAAGCAGACTAACAACACGTGTTAGCTGTTGTGGTTGCTGCTTTCTCCTCTTCTTCCTCTACATCATCATTATCGTCACCACCATCATCATATCATCCCAGCTGTTTTGTGGCTGAATTCATCAGTAAATATTCGGGAAAGAAGCAAGAAGATAGTCTCCCACCAAAATCTGAGGCAGTCTCCCCTTCCCACTTCAAACTCCAAAAGTGGTACTTCTAATTACGTCTAAAAGTCTTTTTTTTTAAAAAAACCGACACAAAAGCAAAAACCTTGGCAGCATAACCTATCAAACGTGTCCACCTAATTCATGCCATTCTTGCTTTAACAAACGACGACCACTGTAACAGGTATCTTATTGAGTAAAAAGAAGAAAACCAAGAAAAAAATGTAATAGCACTGGGCTCCATTAGACATGGGTCCCAGACTTAGGTACATCACATGTTCTTTGAGAAAAGAGATAAAGCAATGATATATTCAGTTCTCCAAAGAACTAGACAAGGTCTTTTTTCTGTTTTCAGTCATTTGGGATCACAGGCTAAAGGCTACTTCATTGTTTTCTTCCCCTCTTCAATAGACTGAATTCTGAAGGTCTAGGATAAGTGGTGTCTGAATGACTCCATCTAATTCTGTAATTCTGGTGGTTTAATCCTATCAGGTCCAAAGAGGCTTTCCTGCGGGTCGTGTAAGGTTGGGGCAAGTCCCCTCTTAAGTGGAGCACGCCACTGCAAGGCAGCAGGGCCCTTCTGCGGGTGCACCCCCAGGAGTGGGTGAGGGGCCTGGCACAGGTTGCCAAACAATGGAAACTTCCTGTTCTGGGTGTTAACTTTAGTTACCACAGCCAGACAATGCTGCCAGTGGTGTGGAAGAAAAAATTGCTGTAGCCAGCTGTGTTGTTCACAGTCGGATGGATTCTGTGTAGCTCCAAATGGTGACAGAGCCAACAGCCTGTTGTAGCTAAGGACAGAATGATGGATGATCTACATACTGTGTCCAAGTAGAGAGAATGGCAGAAGTTCACTTCAGGGTTGTTAAAATGCTAATCCGGGGGAGTTAACAAAAGCTTCATAGAAAAGAAAAGTTCGAGAAATAAGTATACTCATGTGGTGCCGATGTGGACCACTGATTTGATTGCCCTTGGTTACGTAAACCGTTGCTTTTCAAAGTAAGAATGTTTTCTAGTTTTCCTGTTGGGACGAATGGAAGCAGCATCTATTATCAGCTGCTCTGTCCCTGTTGTCTGCGTCTGAGGAGGAAAAGTCAGCCTGACGACAGCCACCTTAACTGAAAAGGGTTATGATATGCTTAATATAGTTAGATGATTTTTATTCTCTCCACATGTCATGGGAATAAATCAAAACACACTTTTTTCCCCCTCCAACTGGAAGTTGGCAGCTGTTCACAAAATAAGCAGCAAACTAAGAAACTGGCTTTGGTAGATTTTAATGCTATGTCTCCATTCACACGAACCACTGAAAGCAAGATCACCTGTTCCAATGACAGTTTCAACATGTGAATTACACTAATAGTACATTGCATTATTAATGTTAGACGCAGATAGACTGGCCCACTGTAAGTATTCGGTATGGATCACCTTGCCTTAAAATCTTTAGGATGAAATAACATACTTCAAAAAAAGATGCAGATTTCCATTTCCTGCCAAATGATTTGGTTTTGCCATTCTCTATTTCTTTGGATTCTTACTTAAGTTGAACATAGAGAAACAGGTCAGCCTCACCTGGTGTTGGAACATTGAGTACCTCCTTGCAAATGACAGGTACTCAATAAATACTGACTAGTTGGCAGACCCCAAGTACCTCTTGCTTCCTCTAAAACAGAATCTAGAATGGTCAGGCTTAAAGTCCATTAATTGAAGTAAAAGGTAATATTTTATCTTCCAATATGCTATGGAAGGAGTTCACCTCCTATGATTACACCAATAATGGTTAGGCATTCAGCCAGGCTCTTAACTCTGCATAAAATGCATCAGAAGGGTGAAAAATGACCCTATTTCAGATGCATTTTTTCACTCCTTGTATCTTAGTGAAACTCAAATGCAAGAACAATGACTAAGCTAATTACCAGGGTTTATTATGACCAAGCAGCAAAAAGTGAAGAACTTCTCCAGTTTCAATAAGTCCTTAACAATGATGGGCATCCTGTGAATCAAAGCTCTGATTCCTGCTTATTTGTCTGCGTGCCTTTCAAGCAACAGAAACCACCACCCAGGATTCAGGGGCCTACTTACCCAGAGCACAGTTACTGGACAGATCCTTCCTGTACAGTAAGCAGCGAGTGAACTGAAGTCCACCAGGTTTCTAAGTAAGTTGCCCTCACTCTAAGGTTTACGTCACAACCATCTTTCAAATCCATCAAACCAGGGGAGACAAGACCAGATGGTGCTATTAGAGGGCACCAAAAAAAAAAAAGAAAGAAGAAGAAGAAGAAAGAAAAGAGGAAGAGGAAGAGGGCAGAATGCCCACAAACCTAAATCAAATGCAAGTTAACCAGCTGTTTGGTGAAGAAGAAGCCACAATACTCCTAGCACATTGTCCTGAATCACAGAAATGCTCCTCCAAACAAGGTTACGTATTTAATATCCCTAATAGAAGCAAGGACAGGTAACACTATTCTGTACAATACGAAACAATATAAAATGGTAGCAGCTGGCTGTTAATCTAACTAAATATAAACACCACCAATGGAAGAAAACAGTCTGCTAAACAACACATTTTGGAAATCTCAGGGTTATTTACTTAACTGTCTCTCTGGGAGCACAGTTTACAGACCTAAATCAGAGCACAGACACTAACTATAAAAAACCCAAAACTCAGCTATGGCTGGGCTATAGTTTATTTACCTTAAGATGTTTAAGTTCATGATAATATAGACCCAAATCTCAGAGCTTATTTGGCAATTTCTATTTATCTAAGCCAGGGTAAATGTTTGTGTAATATTTGCCAGCCTGACAGAATTTTCTGTCACTCGCTACATTAAACATGACTACATACAACTTAATTTCCTGAGTTAGAGGGAGGTTTTTTTTTTTAAACAATATGAATAAACCAGCATCAAAACCTATTGTTAAGCACCAAAAGAATGGTAAAATCCTCACCCTGAGCTGTCTAGGATAAGACTTCTCAATTCTGTAAGAAAGAAACCTTGAAAAAAAATTCCAAACAAATATTTCTCCTCTTCTCAGGGACAGAGACCAAACCAGACTGTAGAAAACTGTTAAACCTTTCCCTAGGGCTTCAGCCTTGAAATAAAAGAATCTACTTTATTGTCCCAAATATCAAGTAGAGAGGACAATGCTTAAAAAGCCCCTAAACATTTTACTGCAGACTTACAATTCTTAGTGGCCAGAAGTTCTTGGGAAAATTGCCTCAGACATTTCTTCTCCCAGGTAACTGGAAACACTACCGTTACTTTAAGGGAAAGCAGTCTCCCAGAGTGATAGACAGAGGGTCCAATTACCAAGTGTGTATCTGTAATAATGATCCACTGTTTCTTCTTTGTGAATTTCGCAGCTGAATACGGTGAGGGGCTGGGATGCTGGAACTTGGGTTACTGACTGGTCACCTCAGAACGGGAGTACTACTCTGAGGTCCTCCCATGCTGTAATTAACACTGCTACTTCACTCCCCCCAGCTCCATGACATTTAGCTCTTTACAAGTTCGGGATTTAAAGGACCACCTGATAGCAGTGGTCCCAAGAGCCGATTTAGCAGAAAAAATGCAAACCCAGTCCTCATCCACACCTTCAAGTCCTTTATGACCTTTTATTTCAATCCAAGAAATTCAAGAATTATACACCACAGAGAAAGCTTTGAGCCCTTCCAAATTGCCCAAGGTGGCTGCTGTATCAGTTTCCGCAGACCAGAAACAAACATCGTCGCTGTCAAGACGGGATATAAAAGTTTCCCTACCTTCCTCCTCACCATCCCCCTGCCAGCGGCTGCCGACGCGAGCGGCGGCTCCCTCCCCGCTGCAGGACGCCTCTCGCCGGTGAAGGGGCTCATGCAAAATTGACTCTTCCTTATTTGTTTCCATCCATAATTGATGGGTAGATGAGAACGTAACACATCTCAGCGCTGGGCTCTTGCCGCCTGGCGGAGACCCTGTCCAAGACGCTTCCGTAAATCATTTCCAGCCGGAGAACAAAGCGCGGAAAGTTGCGGGGGAGAGTGGCGGAGAAGAGAAAGCCGGGCGCCGGGTAGGACGCGGGGGTGGGCGGTGGGCAGCTCCCAGTCCCAGAGCCCGCCCGAGGCGCGCTTGGCCAGCAGGGGGAGAGGGAGGGTGGGAAGTGGCCGCCCTCTGGGCAGGAGCCGGTGCTGGAGCCTGCTGAGCTAGG